AACAAATTGATATAACTACGTCATGGCTTCCGATTGTAATTTCAAGTATTTATTAATTCAAAAAACTATTATAATGTATAAAATATATTGGGCACTTTTCATTAAATGGTGAGCCATATTATTAAAAGTTGTCGTAACTTTTTTTTTTATTGCCCGAGCAGGCTTCGGATACGGCCCACCTGATGGTAAGTGGTTACCGTCGCTCATGGACGTCAGCAATGCCAGGAGCCGAGCCAAGCCGCTGCCTACTGCTCCAAGCCGCTGCCTACCGCTAAACTGCCTGCCTGTCGTAACTTAAAATATGAGATCGGTGTTCTTTTATAGCGGTATTTATTGTTTTCTTAAGTAAATGTCTGCATGTGACAACATTAATTAACTACAATACGTCTGCCGGGTCACAAGCGCTAAACACCGGAAACCGATTGCTCGTCACAGCTGGTCTATAGAGCTGTAATTCCGTCACCCCGTGACCTTAACCGGAGGGAGGCCGGCGTCTATACAGTAATCCAAACCTCGATCTGTTTTATTTTTTTGTTTGATGGCCCGGAGGCTAGGAGAGATATTGGCAGGGTATTGCATTCCGACCCGGCTGGCTGGTTCTGACTCAGCGGGTATCCCAGGGCACTAGCGTCACCGCCTGGGCGGCCTGATGAGCTGCCGTACTAAGAAGGTCAACGTTCAGAGCCTTCGATTCGCCTCGGAGGTTCCGTTGGCGCCCTCGGGGTGCGCCGTGCGTCTGGTTGTAGTGTTCACCGAGGTAACCCTCTTACTCCGCCCAAGTTCTAACGAGTTCTTCAAGGGGGATGGATTGCTTAGGCAAGAGTGTAGAGGAGTTGTCTAGTGGGTAGGGCCCTAAATACCATCCTTAAGCCCGCGGTCCACTCCCAACATTTATGGGTCATCCAGTTCCACAAAAAGCGCCTAGACGCGGGAACCTCGTAGCAGCTTCGGCCCCCGGTTCAAAAAAAATGTTTGGGTTACTGTGTGTATTGTAAGTCTGCACTTAACGATACCACCACCTTGCCTATTTTTGCCGCGAAATAGTCACCTATACTGGTTAGTCAACCAACCATCACAAGAAAATTTTGATTTCGATCTCATGTCTCATGGTGAGTGCGGCATTCAGATTAAGATATCTATGGGCTATGGTAATCATTTAACACCACGTGGGATGCAAGATTCATCTCCTACAAATAAAAACATGCCATTATCGATTTATTATTGTTGTAATTATACTACTTGAATCCTAAATAATATTGAGTTAATCTGAAAACTTATCGATATATTTATCTTGAAAAAGGAAATAATTTAGTAAAATGTTTAAGCTTATTAATTGAAGGGATTAAAATTCCAGGAACGACAAGAGGCTATATCCTCTTTTGTATATTGCTTAGTAATAAATTCTAAATTTTCCGAATAACTCATCGCAAAGTAAATACTCTCCTCGGTGTCTCTTTAAACGAAAAAAGAATAATGGGGTCAGTTGTTAGCTTTGCAGTACAGAGTCTTACAGCAACAGCTTATAATTATTTGGGCGGTAAATATATGTTACTCTCGAACAGTAAATAAAGGAATTTGTTGTAAATGTCAATAATACCGCAACAAGGATGAAGTCGTCGTGGCCTAAAGGATAGGAAGTCCGGTGCATTCGCATATAGCGATGCAACGGTGTTCGAATCCCGCAGGCGGGTACCAATTTTTCTAATGAAATACGTACTCAACAAATGTTCACGATTGACTCCCACGGTGAAGGAATAACATCGTGTAGTAAAAATCAAACCCGCAAAATTATAATTTGCGTAATTACTGGTGGTAGGACCTCTTGTGAGTCCGCACGGGTAGGTACCACCGCTCCGCCTATTTCTGCCGTGAAGCACTAATGCCTTTCGGTATGAAGGGTGGAGCTGCCGTTGTAACTATACTGAGACCTTAGAACTTATATCTCAAGGTGTGTGGCGCATTTACGTTGTAGATGTCTATGCGTTCCAGTAACCGGGTGGGCTGTGAGCTCGTTCACACATCTAGGTAATAAAAACATTTTACAAAATTGGAAAGCTACTAAATTGTGCTTAAATCAACCAAATGGCAAACTCTTTAATGACAATACAGCGATTACTTTAAGCTGTCATTCTAATTACGTCACTTCTAATTACTGAAGCGACCCAGAACGACATAACTGCCTCTTCATTGTGTTTCGCGTGAATCGACCCTAAAACCCAACCTATAGTTTCACATGTAAAATAAATAATGCGAACAACTGGGACAGAGACGGCTTTCAGACACGGAAAAGAGTCATTAGCCAAACGATTACCGTGTAATTTTGATTGGGTGAAAAGACACTGATTATGATTTATTAATAACGAAGTGTTTTCTTTTTTTTTCTTTCGTAATAATTGTCCTTGTACCTTTATAAGTTATAGCTTTGATGTTTGTATTGCGCTGTAAATTATTGTATTTAGATATCTTCACTGTACCTTAGATAAGTTTTACGGGTGGGGCAGCCGTTGTAACTATACTGAGTCCTTAGAACTTATATCTCAAGGTGGGTGGGGCATTTATGCTTTAGATGTATATGGGCTCCAGAAATCACTTAACAACCAGGTGGGCTGTGAGCTCGTCCAACCCATCAAGGCAATAAAAAAAAATATTTTACGACAGTTCACAAGAATGGCATACGAGTATGTCTAAAAACCATCGTACTGTCAAAACCGGGAAGTAAGTAGATCTATTGTGTTATCCTACAGCGCTTTGTCTTTAGTCTTATTTTTGAAATTAAGTTTGAATATTGAATAAGTTTCAATAAGTTTGAAGTTTGAATATTTTGGAAATTAACTTTGTCTGTTAGCAAATAATGCACGGTCACCGGCCGTAATTTAGGGTTCGCTGTGTTATGGGTATCAGAGAATGACATACATACTTATCATCATCATAGTCGGTTACTGTTGGCAGAGCAGTCGTGGTCGTGTGGAATTCTTGTTTATTAAAGCCTTGACAGATATTCTCCATAGTTTGCGAATTGAGGCTTGGCGCACGCACTCGTTAAGTGGAGTTTTAGTAAGGTCTTTCACCTGATCAGTCCAGTGTGGGGCTTTGTCCACGAGATCTTTTGCCAATGACCCTACCTTGAACAACAAGTTTCTCGATAGACTTTGCTGGCCGTCGGATACTTATACGTATAATATGTACATAATAATAACATAATAAACACTCAGACAAAGAGCAAATAAATCTGTTTCTCACACGAATGTTTGCCCTATGTGGCAATTGAACCCACGACCACTGGCGTAACAGTCAAGGGAGCTTATTACTACACCACCGAGTCAGTCGAATGAAGTGTATTGCAATTATGCATGGATAGGAACCACTATCCCACACGTTTTTGCTGAGCAGTAATCCATTCCGATTCAAAGGATGGGAAAGCCGTTATACAACACGATTGAGACTTTGATCCCATCTCTGGTGACAGTATTTAAAGTTGTGACGCCCAAGAGTGACTACTTATCGGATGAACCGAAAACTCGTTAAGTCATCTATCTACAAAATAAGATGATCCACCACATTAACATTACATAAATCCTAATTGGTTTTTTATATAGTCCTAAATAAATTGGGACAAAATTGGGACACCCACATTAACATTTGTAAAGAGCTCCGCCTTTCTAACGCCAATGGAAAACCCACGAAACCTTATTTCGTCACCGAAATATCTTATGTAAGATATTATCGTTTTTGTAATCCTCGTTCCGTTTCCGTAACAAAGATTGATAGGCCAACGAAGCTTGTTTATCAAAAAAAATACATTGACCGATTGCCACGTTCATTTTTTTTCTATTTTCTAGTTATATTCATTAAAACACATAGAAGAAGGTATTGTTTTGGAATTGGTTATAGAACTCACAAGGTTTGAAATGAAATACCAAGTGTATATTTTGTAGATATGAACTTAGCTATAACTAGCCATACTTCGTTGGAATTTGGTCTGGATTCAATTCTGTGCGTAATTTGGAATGTGTTGGGTGTTAGTGCTTAACATAAGTTACTGACCTCGATTCAATCAGCGCTATGAATGACGCAGTTAATTTGATGCCGTACTTCTCAATGCGTCTTTAGCAACGTCTGAAGTATTCAATCCGACCCAGGCGATGGAGCAACACAAAGCCGGATCTACTACTGGTGCGTTTAGGCTCTTCAAAGACCGTCCTCGTTGGACTCGTCGACTACGACGAAGAGATCGATGAGCGAACTAACGCATAGACACAGCCGACTGTGTATCTCGCTGGATCTTCTGAGTTGGTCGCGATTCCAATCCGTTGCTAGATTCTGCGAAGCACTGCTTCCAAACAATAATAATAATAATAATTGCATTTATTTACTCCAAAAGAAATAAATTTTCAATTAATATGACATAAAAATTCTAATTCTAAACAATATTACAGTATATTATACTAACACAGTGGAGATAAAAAGGCCACGGCTCAGCTTTGTGATAGCTGAAACTATTGTTGTTAACCTGCCGCTGCCTGTAATCTTAATCTAAAAACTTAAATCTAATAATACCTAAATTTAAAATTACACACTGCTCTTGCTACGGCTAGTGTTAGTAAATTATCTCACGTTAAGCCTGTGAGATCTACCACCCGTGCGAAGCTCGAATAACCCCCTAGGCTACCAGTTAGGCAAAAAGGTATTCATGAAATCTGGGGAATAACACTTCAGGTCTTAAAACTGGGCGTGACTGTTTTGAAAATTGTACAGACTACTAACAACCCGATGTACAATGTTTCGATATAACGTCTGGTTTTTTCATATTTTAATATTAGTTCGAGCACTTTTTTATTTTTTTGAAAATAGTGCCAATGTATCGGGTACATAACTATTGTCAAGGAGTTTTAATAAAAAATAAAATCATTCCTAGAAATTTCCTTGGAGAACCAAAACATTAGCCCAAATAAACTATCAAGACGAAGAATCAGATTAATCTGTAGCTCTCCTTTTTTCAGGTGAACCCAGACGAGAATCATCTACCGGTTGTCTCGCACTCGTCGCCGTGTAAGTACATCAATCACACTTGACACGTATTCGTTAGACTACACTTCGCTTTCACGTATACCGACGGTTCATTTTCTTCAAATAACTCGTTTCCTGGCAAGTCACGTAGAGTATTTTTTCGTGATGAAAAGCTTCATCGTCGAGTGTCTATCGCCGATAATTGGGAGTTTAAGAGAAAAGATAAATATTTTTCGGAACATTCTAGCAAGAATAACGGAAAGCAGCTTCGAGCCAAGGCTCTGTTTGGACAGACAGTTGGAAATTGACATAATAATATTTATTTTCTTGAGCTACGCAAGTCACAGGACTGTTTGGCCTGAAAAGAAATAATACGTTGAGGATAGTTTGATACATTTTGACTTTTAGAGTCAGCTAATGAGTTTTCAGACGTGGAGGTCATCAATCAACAGTATTTATTACCTTCCCTTTTCGTTTATTGAATAGCTTTTAAGGTTTCTGGTGGCTTCAAGCATATTTTTTTGTATAAGTTTTTTGTAAGCTTCGTCGAAATTATAGATTTGAACATGTCATTTTAACGAAAGTTTCAAAAGCTTTTTCCAATTTATTAGATTGTTCTTGACAACTATTATTGGCTTATAGATAAATAAGATATCTTAAAGGTGAGATGAGGCCAGGCAGTATCTGATTTGTCCCACGTTGCTTATTTACTTGAGGAATATGCAGAACTCTAAAATGACTAATAATTTATTTTACTCATCAGATTTACAATTGAATTTTAATTTCAGTTTACGTTGGAGATAAAAGTGGAAGCACAGATGCAGTAAGTATTAATTACTATATTAAAGCTTTACTATAGAGAGAATAGGTAAGCAGACATAATTGGCCACCAAATGCATAAAAATAATGTTAATGTTAGTGCCCTGAGACCTTGTAGGAGGGTTGGAAAAAGGGAAAAGTTTTGCTGAAGAAAGCTGATTATTTATATACTAAAAAGGAGATGTGGCATTATTGCTTTGATATAATCATCTGAAAACTTTTTTTGAGGTATAATATCACACAACATATTCCAAATTCTGCATATATCTCCGGTGGTGCGTAAGTCACCCTCTTTGTGAACAAATCAAGTTTGTTTGACCTCCGGCTCAAGCGGTGACCTAAACACCGAAGTGTGGACGTGACTATTAGACGGTCACTAGCGTTAAGATTTCCTTCATTCCATTTGTCTTATTATATGAATCGTAGGAGCGGATTTTTCGTTGTCGAAATAATTCATAATTTTGTTTCGTATGTTTTGTAATTGTTCTTGGTTAAGACAATAATGTCTTCAAGGTATCCCAGATTAAGATTCGTGATTTCAATAGATACTAATGTTACTCTGGCAGTACTGACTAGAAACTATAATAATAACAAGAAACCAATTTTTTAAAATTTTATTCTAAAAAATAAAAAAAATGGATTGGAAATGTCAATAGAAACTCTATCAAAAACCCAATTTCAGCTTACGAGAAATTTTCACGCATTTCATTCATAAATAAACTAAGTCAAAGCGAAAGCCCTTCAATTCATCCAATAATATAAAACTACCGTATTTCATCACACGTCGAGGGTCCAGACCCTAGGCGGTACTTAAGTAAACCTACCTACCCTTGTCGTTGGTACGTAACGAGAATTTATTCTCAAATATTCAACAGTTTTTTTTTTCTTTCGAATTCTCGAAATCACATTTAACATTCACTTCGTTATTTGGTTTTACAAATATATTTTCGTTATTTGGCTCAGACCTGGTGTTTGAGTAAACGATTTTTACTGTGTCTGTATTTCCATGAATATGTTATGATAGTTTAGTTTTAAATTACAAGAGAATTTTCTTGGTATTTACTTACCAGTCTTTTATTATATATTCTGTTGGAGGAATCTCCGACTGATATAATGTAGTAGTTTTAATCTGAATTTATTATCCAAAATTCAATTACGAGATAACGTATGAAGAAAACAAACTAAACTTAACCTATTAGGTTATAATTTACAAAAGCTTAATACAAACGAATTTCGCGGAAACAACCCCTAATGATGGGGCTGCTTCAATAAATAACAAACTTACACTTCCAACGCTGCCCGACACGAAACCGGAATACTAGCTCAAGACTTCGTAGCTTACACAACCGAATCACGTGCCGCTCAAAATACCTATACATATACCAATTCCTAAAATTGTGAAACTAAAATTGTTTCTCCCCTGTTTGCTGGTAAATTACGACTTGGCCTCACATCCGAAGGTATAAACTGTCATTATTTTACATTAAAATAGCTATGTTTAAGGGTAGTTGACAATAGAAGACCCGCCCGGCGTAAAGGAAGCCGGAATATACTGAGAGTGTTCGTGTGAGCCTATTCGCTTTACAATTTGGCAGTATTGTTGAAGGTTTTAAATGATAAAGGCGTTGAGTAAAGGAAAATCCATAGAGATACCTTCGCAGGGTTGGCCGGAATTTCGCGTTTGAAATTCCTTTCATAAAGCTTTTTATACACAAAAGGTATTTGACTAAAATATCGTAAACTCTTGTCGCATTACGTCCCAAGTCGATTAATTAAGTTGAGTGCTAAGTTCTAACGAAGAGAATATAAGCTTGAGAGTAATGGACAATTTTGGACCAAGGCTATTTATATTTTACCATAGCTTGGGGGTATATTACGAATTTCGCACGGTCCTGCCAATTTCTATCATGCGTTACGGTTTGAAGGGTATGACAACCATTATAATAATTTGACACCAAGTAGATCGTGAGCTTGTCAAGGCACCAACTTCAATGCTATGAAATGTTTTTAAAAAGATATATCTTTATTTTAATTTATTTATCAGACCGCAGTACAAGGAACGTGCCGATGCAGTCTAAATGACATCTCTCAAATCTTGGAAGTGATGCCAGAGTTAAGAGGACCTCCTGGACCACAAGGACCAACCGGGGCTGACGGCACTACGGGCGCTCCAGGGAAAACGGTAAATGTGCCAATTAATAACAATGATGTTCCGGGTATTCTTCGAGGCTCGGTCTTTTGAATTTTATTCCAAAAAATACCAATATATTTTCGCTGTGGGAACATCAGTTTCTTTCGCTTCCTAACTTATAATCTAAATTGTGGTGAAGCCAACGTTCTTATCATTTCTCTTTACTTTGTTCTTCTTGCACCTACTTAAGTACCTAACACGTATTCACTACAATCTACTTTATTATAAGCTAGATAATCATAAAGCTTACTATCAATTATCAACATGAAGTACAACCGCATCAAAGCATCAATTACAGCAGTCCTTACCCGTTTTAAGGCTAGTATGAAAAGTACTTCGAATTTCAGGGTTGTCGTCTTCTATCAACGCTTAAAACCAGGTCAGCCGTAATGTCGTCTATACGACATGTGCATTAATAAAAAAACTAGAGGTTTATTAAAGTGCCTCAGAAAATCCAGGTTGATTCATAGAAGAGTGCTTTATTAAGGAGTATTAAAAATCTTCGCTTGTTTCGTTCAGAACGCGTAGGAGCTCCGTAGATCTTAATTTATTAGTAATCACGAGGCTCGGTAGGTACTTAAACGAACGCGTAGGAGATTTACACGTTTGAGTTTTTTTTTTCTTCTTTATATATGCGCAGAATGGCATACGACCTGACAGATTTTCTAGTACTTGGAACGGTATCAGGAGTCTGTAGAAGACGTGTGAATACCTAGTGCGTTTTTCGATATTTTATTATATATTATATTATATAATCTAAACTAGCTGACCCGGCAGACTTTGTAGTGCCTCAATCGATAAATGAAAGACCTAAATTTTTGTATAAAATAAACTTGAAACAAACAAAAGGAATCCGTCCGACGGGGGACGCATTAAAGGGAAAACAAAATTGTTATTTTTATTTATTTCCGAGCATTTTCATATTTACCTCTGGACTTCCACAAATAACTCAAGACCAAAATTAGCCAAATCGGTAAAGCCGTTCTTGAGTTTTAGCGAGACTAATGAACAGCAATTCATTTTTATATAAATAGATTAATATTTATGAAGGCAGCACTAATTGTATTGGAAATAAATTTCGTTACCACAAAAATATCAAAAAAGAAAGCGGTTATACTGTAAAAACTGAGATTTAGAACTTGTGTCTCAAGATGGGTGGGTGGTGGAATTGATGTGTTAATGTCTATGGGTGGGTGGTAAGAATTTAATAAATTTTTAAACAAATTTTAAAATAAATGACACCTGAGAAATATTGTTTTAATTTTTTTCTGGTGTATAGTTACTGTGACATGAGTCTGAGCGTAGGTATTGATAAGTCGAGAAACAATATAACCTGTAATCCATTTGTCATGGATATTGTTGGCGTTCTGTTTTCGAAACCCATTCTAAGAAATTGCTTATAAGGTATATCGATGCCACAAATAATATTGTTATCTCTATATATAAAAATGAATTGCTGTTCGTTAGTCTCGCTAAAATTTGAGAACGACTGGACCGATCTGGCTAATTTTGATCTTGAATTATTTGTTGAAGTCCGGGGAAGGTTCAAAATAAATAAATATGAAAATGCTCGGAATTAAATAAAAATAACAATTTTGTTTTTCCTTTAATGCGTCCCCCGTGGGACGGATTCCTTTTGTTTGTTCTAAGTTTATTTTATACAAAAGTGTAGGTCTTTCATTTATCGATCGAGCCACTACGCAGTCTGCCGGGTCAGCTAGTTGTAAAATAAATTTTGTTCAAAAATTTTAACTGATTAAACATCACCAGCTCTTTTAATTTAACTGTTAAGCGACACTTTAATTTTTTTTAACAGTAAAAACGTATGTAAAATCGTTTCGGAAACTCTCCAAACTGCAAAGCATTTCTTATACGAATCAATAATAAAAAATACCGAGTTTTAAATCATGTTTTTGTAGAAAGGAGGAGTTTTTGATGGACCCGAAGACAATCCGGCTTCACGCTGTTAAAAATATTCTACTTTGAAACAAGACTTTTATTTTTTAGGGACAAATTGGAGACCCCGGACCTGCAGGGCCTCCAGGATCTAAAGGCGATCGAGGGGAAAGAGGGGATACAGGGAATTCAGGTCCAGAAGGTCAACCTGGTCCCAAAGGCGACCCTGGCGCGGATGGTTCTCCTGGGCCACAGGGCCCTCAAGGCCCACCCGGTCTACCAGGCCCTGTGACATCTGCACTAATAGTAAGTGTTGTTGACTTACCACAATAAAGGAATAACATTGTGTAGTAAAAATGATACCTGCAAAATGATAAATGGCGTAACTACTGGTGGTAGGACATCTTGCGAATCCGCACAAGTAGGTACCACCACCCCTTTATGTAATGTGTTTTGGTTTGAAGGGTAGGAAAGTAAAGCTAAAGTAAAGCCGCTGTACTATAAAAACGGAGACCTTAGAACTCATGTCCTGATTTAGGTGGCGACGTTTACGTCGTAAGGGTCTATGGGCTCCGGTAACTAATTAACACCAGGTGGACCGTGAGCTCGTCCACCCATCTAAGCAATAAAAAAACAAGCTTTTTCATGAATACGTGCATTTTTTTTTAATATTTAAAAATAGAAATTCCATCGTATCTTATCGATTTTTATCATTATTGTCAACCTAGATATTAGGCTATGGATTTAATTCTGAAAAAACAAAAGGCTCGTTATTTTGTTACTTCGAAGTACAAAGTTTTGGGTAGGATATATCCAGTGTTAAATAAATAAGTCTACTTCAGAAGCTCAAAATATAATTACCGAGTTCAAAATTGTAAGCTATATCCGAATTGAGATAAGTGTTATGGTAAAGGTTGGATTTCTTTTTTTTTTTTTTTAATTAAACACGTTTTCCAATATTTTATTCTCTCATAATTTTATTATTATACAATATAATTCACATCATTACAGCGAAATGAGAAAACATTCTTTGATATTTAAAAAAATAGCAATTCGCTGTTTCGGAAAATAATTGGCAGTCTTTACAATGTTGGTAACAAGGATCTCATTGTACAGAAAATATCTAAGTCTATTTAAGGCTTGTTTGAGGATAAGCCAGATCTTGTTTATTGTAACAAGAGGTAGTCAGCGTATAGTACTTTTTTAGATTCTTAATTATAAATCAAAACGGATATCTTCTCACTTTTTTATTCCTCACCGATAGTTATTGATATATTTAACTTTTCATATAGAAACAATTTGTTATTTCTTAGCATGAATAATATACATGTTTAAAAGTAATTATATTATTCCTTCAACAATGAAATGATAGTCGGCTAAATTAAAGACTAGATGAATGTATGCGAAGTAGTCGTGCACTCTAGTTGGAAGTTCTGTTGTACCAAAAATAGACTGACTCGGTAGTTCAATAATTAGCGGCCCTGACTTCTTACGTCGAGGGTCGTGGGTTCGATTCCCACGTCGGGAAAACATTCGTGTGATGAACAGGCTTGTTTGCTTTTCAACTGGGTATTTAATAATATTTATATATTTAAATGTATATGTAATATATACGTATGTATGTATGTCAGTCTCGGGTACAAGCAAATCTAATTATGACCGTACGTAATTTGTTTCCAGTTATAAGAAAAATATACATGAGACCTAGACTTTCTCAGAGTGGTCTCGACATTTACGTCTCTGGAATTAGGTTACCGTTTAGTTAACGCAGGCGTGACGTAAGTGCGTCTGTCCATGCAAAGCAATAAAATAAACATAAACAAATTTAATCATGCCAAGTTTTACACCGCTTTTGACCTTACGAAAGCTTTCAAAAAGTTCACCTCGGCGTACGGCAAAGATGGAGTTTCCGAAACCTAGTTTCACGGTTTTAAGCTATGCGCTAACAATAAGTCGGTAAGGCTACATTTTATAGGTGTATATTCTGTTGGTTTATTCCAAAGTATAGAATATATAATGTGCTTAATCGATGTATATATAGATTTGAAATAAACAAGTACTTTTTGAATTGATTTAGAATAGGCAGTACAAAACTTTGACAAAAAGCCGATTTTAACATAGTAAAAAGCAAATATCATGTGCTTAAGTCCAGTGAATTGAAACATGCATAATATTAGGGATAACTCAAATATATTGTTAAGATGTTGATAAAATTTCAGAACCAGATGATTCTCATGTGGTTTTATGCTTTTATGTGTTACGTATTCAAACACATTAAGAATCATACAATCATCAAAATCGGTCGCCTAGAAAAAGTTCTGAATTAATACTTATAATAGTCGAATTGAGAAATAGATACAGTTACTGTTACAACTCAGACCTTAAAACTCTTGTCTCAAAGTATGCGGCATTTACATTATAGATGTCTATGGGCTCTGGTAACTGGTAGTAGAACCTTTTGTGAGTCCGCACGAGTAGGTACCACCACTCCACCTATTTCTGTCGTGAAGCAGTAACGCGTTTCGGTTTGAAGGGCGGGGCAGCCGTTGTAACTATACTGAGACCTTAGAACTTATATCTTAAGGCGGGTGGCGCATTTACGTTGTAGATGTCTATGGGCTCCAGTAACCACTTAACACCAGGTGAGCTGTGAGCTCGTCCACCCATTTCAGCGATAAAAAAATACTAAAATCGCCTAAAACGTAAACAAAAATTCTATCATAAGTACATTTTATTCTAAAAGTGAAGTTTCATTATTTACGTTTAGAATTCACAGTTGAAAAGCGCTTTACAGAATCGGATGATTAATGATAACTGATGCTATTTTATTCAATTCAAAGCACTTGGCTTTCCCGAACAAATAAGTTTAGCGCCGTTTAAGAATACGATTTAAGCAGATGCTACCTGTTGTTTATGAAATTCTCGACTTTTCCACTTTAATAATTATTTCGTTCAATGAAACAATGTTGTTATCAAATACTTCTTATTGTCTTCTTCTATAATTTAGGTATTTGTGAACACAAGATCAATAGTTTTAAATAGTAAGAAAATTTATATTATTATAAGCACGAGAAGTGGTGTTCTCGCTCATTTGTATTGTATCTGCTTCCTTCTGACGGAATTCGTGTTCTCCTTTTAATTATGTATGAGATTCTATTAGAATTCTTCATTGCCAGCGACTTGATAATGTCCGTCAAATTTCTGATGTTCAAACAGTAATTCGATAAATTTTTAAAAGTTTCGCACTCAAAATAAGAACGTCATCATGTTACTGTAAAACCAAGCTGAATAGCTCTAAAACGCGTGAGTAATTATTGGGTTTTACACAGGAATCAACAGGATTATATGGGTCTGTTAATCCTGGTATCCAAGGACCTCAAGGCGAGAGGGGTCCAATGGGCCTTCCAGGGCCTCAAGGGGAGAGAGGCTACCCTGGGAATAAGGGCGAGAGGGGATTACTTGGCCCTAAAGGAGACAAAGGCGACCGGGTGAGTTTCTTGAATATTATTAAATAGGATTGTTTGGGTTAAGCGTTTATGTAAATGTGTATCAAAGTTGGATTTAAGCTTGTTATTATGTTTAGCTACGGGCTGTTGTTTTAATAGTTGTATTTCTAGATGTTTCCGCCAATTATGCGGAGAAAATGTAACCAAACGAAAAGGTTTATTGATTTTTGTAAAATTTTCTTGATTAAATTTACATTTTTCGTAATTTTTTATTTGTACAAGATATCGATTCTAACAATTTAAAAAAGTATTTTTTCTTGGAATTAATGTATAAATTAATATACCCTCTACTTTTTCTTCTACATTTGCGTCATTTCTTACTTTCTTTACCGTCTATTAAAGTCTTCGTTAAGAATCGGCAACAACTAAGACGGGACCCAAATTAACACAGTTTTTATGAACACTTATATCCCTTTTATTGCAGGATCCCTAAAAAAAGACATTGCCACACTAAAAACGCCCTATTCACCTTTACGACGGTAACTTGGTAAATCAAAATAAAATCCGTCACTAAATTAGTTCCAACCCGGATAATAAAAGTAGACTAACGCAATTACCCACGGTTTTCCAACTCGTGATGTCGTACCTTCAGTATATAACTGTGTTATAGGGGTACGTGGGACTTAGAGGTCCACACGGTGCCAAAGGCGAAAAAGGCCCTCCAGGCCGAGATGGGGTTCCAGGCCTGCCGGGAGCGCACGGCCGTCCCTCAGAAAAGGGTGAAAAAGGTGAAGAAATCAAACCATCAAATTTTATGTTTCTCTATGACCTATATTTATGTCCGAGTAACTCGTTTGCAAGATTTTAGAGCTTAACAGTAGCGATTTGGGAAGTCTTTATTACACCCTGGTCGAACCCTTAGGATTGCTACGGAGTTTTCGCATAGAGTTTATTTATTATTACTGTTCTGTTTTACGACCGACTAGAGAGTTCTTTTTATAGGTGAACGTACTAGGTCCTATTTTATATGGATACCTTTAGTGGGCGTTTCTGTTTTTGATCAAAGATCAATATTGGAAATGAAGATAGGGATGTAGGGTGATAGTTATTACCCAACATTGAATTTTTCAAGTAGTTCTCCAGTTGTGCGGGACATGATCGACTTAAAATCCCAGTGTTTTACCCGGTAAATCTATTAATTTTATAAGTTTTTTTATAGATTCCGCAACATTTTTACTACCGTTAATTAACTGATTTTATTTATGAAGATTTATTGATTTGGATAGGTGCTAGAGGTCTTCCTGGTCTGCCTGGACCTCCGATGCCGACAATATCTGACAATGCTGTGCTGAGTGACATCACACGAACAGGTATAACTTAAACAAAACTCAGTAATTAATTCAAAATATTTTTTATATTCGCAATGGATTTTATTTTATTTGTAATTCTCATATTTATCTCTCATGATATGCAACTGCATAGTGCATCTGACCACCTGAATAGTTTATAAACTTATATAGGTAGTTTTCGATAAAATGCTACAGAAAATGTGTTCACAAAATTAAATTATCCATGAAAATTGGAGTGCATATTTATGAATATTAAATTTAAAGCATTAATTATTAATTAAAATTACTTGTTTATGAAGCGATTAAAATTCGTTCAAACATCCAATGTAATTAAAAATAAATGTAATGAAATTATCAAATTTCGTAATTTCAACTCAAAACGAATAGATTCACAAAAAGAAACAGCGTGTTTTTTTTTCTATAGAAACACAATTTTGCTATCTATCATTAGAAGCTCAATTTAATTAATTAATTTTAATCCTAAGCGTTTTGGCTTAAATACTTCAATTAAGTTATCAAATAATCTATTTTCTTAAGTTTTCATATATTTTAGACGTAATTTAAAAAATCTTCTGTAGTCTCGCGACTATTATTTTAATTTCTATATTTTCAAGGTTATAGATACAGTACAGTTTTCGTGGTCATTGTCGATCAACTTAACATTGTTTTTGTTTGAAGTTATTCGTTAACACTTATTTGACATTAATCTAAATTCTCAAAATGCAAATTCACATATTGGTATGTCTGTATGAAGATGAGAAGAGTATGACTCCAGAGATTCAATGGATACGATGATGATCTTATTAACTGGTATTAAAGGCAATGATGTTAATAGCGTGCGAAGTTTAATTGAAAAAAGTGTTTCTAAAAATGAAATTATCAAAATAAAACTATAAAATTAAATAAGCCGCTGAAATTGTGGGCATGCCAATCACTTTGACCGTCATAATAATTTAAGTATCTATTTGGACTGCCCCATATTATGAAAGCCTTTGCATTTCTCTAGGCCCAAATCCAGCATACATTGTACTACTATTAAATTTCTTAGACCGATATTTTTAACTGGACCACTTAAAGAGTAGCAGTAGGTCGGTGGCACATTTACGTTGTAGATGTCTATGGGCTCCAGTAACCACTTAACACCAGGTGGGCTGTGAAATCGTCCACCCATCTAAGCAATAAAAAAAAGCCTCATAGTATGAGTAGAACGGTTTTTGCCTTCTCTTCAGAGGATCTGCAGACTAGATCAGTAGCAAGGCTTAACTTTAGCATGTATCTTTGTGACTTACAATGTCCCTTTAGTGACGTTGTGAAAAACTTTGGCTAGTGAAAAATTTGGCATGCAACCCGAAAGTTCAATATCGAACCGAATAATATCAATAAATTTTGGGAATCCGATGTGAGCACGAATACATTTACATTCGCCTCACTGATTATAAGCCCGCAGTACATATTTGAATCATGCGAAATGGACATTTGAATCAATGATTTCCGGATATAGATGTTAAGTGAATTATATAACACTAGTGGTCCCGCAGTAGTCGAAATTCGACTATATTTAATTGGAATTGTAAGTTTGTACACTATTATGATCGTATTTTATGCTTCTATAATCACAAATTTCGCCAAGACTATACTATAAACAATATTTAATCTCAATTTGACAACAGACGTCAAGAACAAAAGTTTGACAATAAATAGTGTGCATGCGTTTGTGCGTCAAATACATGGTATGTAGTGTGTGTAATGGTTTCTTTATTGGTTTAATGTATCTTTTATGCATTATTTTAAAAAAAATATTAGCATTGTGCACTTCTTCTCTATATTCTCTATAAGTGTGGAAAATTTCATACTCCTCCGTCCGCGCAATTTTCGTAAAAAGGGATACGGTGTTTCCCGAGAGCTATGACATGTCCTTCTTCAAAAACGAGGCTTGTGGAGAGTATTAAGCGGTAGGCAGCGGCTTGGCTCTGCCCTTGGCATTGCTGAAGTCCATGGGCGACGGTAACCACTCACCATCAGGTGGGCCGTATGCGCGTCTGTCTACAAAGGCAATAAAAAAAAAATACAAAGTTTATGCTTCACGTATTAATATATAGATAATCGAGTATTTCAAGTATTGATAACTGATCGCTACTAATTTATAATATACGTTATCTAATTATATTAATCATGAATCCGTGGCATGATGACATTAGCTGGACTGGAAAATTGTTTGCCTGAATTCGTCATGGCTTAGTCTTTTTTTTTTATTATTGCTTAGATGGGTGGACGAGCTCACATCCCACCTGGTGTTAAGTGGTTACTGGAGCCTATAGACTAGACATCTAGAACGTAAATGCGCCACCAACTCTTCAAACCGAAACGGATTACTGCTTCACGGCAAAAATAGGCAGGGCAGTGGGACAGTTAAGGTTTTGCTTTTATTAATGTTTAATATAGCGTGGTCTTGTTTTATTATTGTTTTAATATTAAATTATCATTGTCTAATTATAATTGCATAAGTTGATAAAAAATGCTATGCAATAGCTTTACCGCGGCATTTACCGAGTCTCACACGTTTTTTTTATTTCTTTATGTCACAAATTAAAATTACGTGCAACTAGACGTAAAACTAATGTGAATATGTTTAAAAAACTCAGTACCTTGTCATGTACATTTACCTTTCAAGTAGACGACGAAAACCTGTTATAATTTCCGGGTTATTAAACGAACAAACAAATATTTCATTTCGGCTCGGTGCGTTGGGGTCACGGAAAATAATTACAGTTGGAAACTCGTCTTGGTAACACTCGTTTCCGGCTCACTAATTACATTAACGGCACGTTAGCGTTACCCGTTCCGAAACTCTCAGAACTCATCTACATCTGGAGGTTTGTCTGAATCATTACACGATTCGGCTAATATTTTTTTCTGTAATTATTCATTGAAATGACTCTTCTAGTGATGCGAAATTGGATTTTGCTGAGTTTAATTTGTTTTGATACTCACTACTTTACGAAGTCATACTTAGCAGTCAAAATTTACCGTGACATGAATGGCTTCGTGTTAAAAATTGGCAGAGTGGTTGGATTAATATTAAACCGCAACTCGATTCCCACTTTTTCTGTTTCATGAAAATACGCTCTCAAATACAGTAATTCTTTATACAAATACACATACGGACAATACACACAAAAAAAAGTTCAGATATTTAGATCTTCGTATAAATATTTAAAATCCATTGGGATTTTTTTTAATTTGCAATTTGAGTTTTTAATTTTTTTTTGTTGTATAAGACAGCTTCGGTAAAAAATTACGATGAAGAAATAAAAATGTATTAAATTATCATACAAGAATAATTGTTTAAATAAATAAAAACCAGTGATCTCCCTTAAAATAAATTGACCAACTTCTTATGAGAGGCATATTTATATGTATTATGTATTATTTTCTATCATGTTTGGTTTTCTAAATTCTATGAGAACCATTCTCCCAAACGGTTATCACATTACAAAATGATGTCTTTTAATAATTTCATTTGTTAAGCTACCCTAGTAAATATTATTATTAGTATTTTGACATGGTCAACAAAATTAGGTTTCCTGCGTAACTGTTTGTTAACTTTAACTGCACATTATTTTATTCATCATCATTATCCTGCCCTTCTCCCAGTCACCTGGGGTTGGCGCAACGTGTTTTCTCCTTCCATATTCTTCTATCATATACCATTTCTTCGCTCACTTCCCTCTTACCCATATCGTCTTTCACACAATTCATCCATTTCTTCTTAGGTCTACCTCTTCCTCTATATCCTTCCACATTCATAGTTAACACTCTCTTACCAACCTCATTTTCATTTCGACTCATCACATGTCCATACTATCCCAAACGCGCACTCCTCAGCTTTTCTGTCACATTATTTTATTGTTAAAACCTAACTTTATATCATCATGAATCGGTTATTAAATTGATTCAAGTACACGTGTGTTTCATGGCTATTATACGAGGTCTAATCGACCTCCCACGATAAAGTCTGACCGATAAATCAGTACTTTATGAATTTTCTATACCACCACTTGAATATAAATGAAGTGTTATTTACAGAGGCTTCGCTCTTGAAGGGTCCGAAGGGAGACCGCGGGGAGACTGGTGAAAAGGTAATAAATAAATTTAATACAATCCTAAATAAATATAAATATCTAAATATTTTTAGCTTTAATTTTGGAAGTTTCAGAATTTTGGAAATTGTTCAAAATTAATTTTGAGAATTGGTTTTAGCCTAAATGAAGTTTTTATTAATAATTGTGAATCGTAAGTTGAGTTTATTAACTCCAATTAATTTAAAGTAAATAAACTCATTAATGTCTACGTGCTTGGTGGCAATGTAGCTAATTGAAAGAATATAAATACAATAGTAATAAGGAATTAAACAGAATTCATTATTTTGTTTGTTGTTCAAATATTAAGGTTTATATAATATAAGTAACTAGTTAGGTAAGATTTTAAATGAAATATGTATTTTAGACTCCAGTTCGAGTTTAATATATATGTAGCTTTATCAACATTTCATTGAAATGGATATACAGAAAATCATTAAACTACAGGGTGAGAAAGGAAATAGGGGCCTCGAGGGACCACAAGGATTCCCAGGCGTTGACGGAAAGCCTGGTGAACGGGGTGACATAGGGCCGTCTGGCTTACCAGGAACACAGGGCTCGACTGGTCTTCCAGGGTCTAAAGGTGACCGCGGCGAACCTGGCCCGCCTGGACCAGTAGCTATATCTCGAGACGATGCTATGGTTATGACCAAGGTTAGTACATACTTCCCAACATCAGAAGGGAGAATCTAGCTTATGCAAAATTTGATTTTATTATTAAATCGCATACCAAATAACTATTCAGCTTCAACGATAATATTTCCGAAAAAAAAACGTCTTTGATAGCTCTCAAAATTTCTTATTTATTAGTCCAATTACATACATACTAATGAATTCAATTGATAAAATTTTCCTGTTTTGATAATTAACTTTTGTTCTTACTCCCTCCCATTTCAAAGCGGATATAAATGTCTTCTTCATTATATTCGTAATAGCGAACGTCTCGTTATACGAAATAATAATGTGCGTAACGTGTTATGGGATGGCAAATTCCGCTCTCGACATTATTTATATTCTAATTACCAAAGTACAAATGAAATATTGGGAGAGTACGTGCAAACCCTACATCAGAATAATTTACGAAGGGCGCGTAATTACATTCTTAACAGATTTTCATTATTGGGCTTACGACATATTTTCTCTACAAACAGGGCGATAAAGGTGATGCAGGGCCTCGCGGTAAAAGAGGCCATCCAGGGCCACCTGGACCGAGAGGTCCTCCAGGACTACCAGGACCTCCAGGTACTCCAGGTGTGAATGGGCCCACTGGAGACATTGGACTTCCTGGATGGGCGGTAAGATTTTAATAGACTAAACCAAAAGAACTTCAATGTACCACCACCTTTTTCACATTTCAGTTCTAGCATTATAAAAACTAACGAAACAAATAAAATAACGAATCGCTCGCATTTATTATTCATACAGTTATCAAAACGGCTATGATTTAAATTTGGTCTTGAAAATCCGAAGCAAATACACTATCTAAATACCAATAACATCAAAGCTGAATGTTTACCTTTCTGAACTTAACCTTCTCAAATAAGATCAATGTTAAAGAAAAAGTTTTCACGCAGGGCCCGCCCGGAGCCACAGGTCAGCCCGGTCCCCCAGGCCCGAAAGGTGAAAAAGGGGACTCCGCCGTTAACCCACTTGACTTGGAAAAGGTAATTCTAATACTGTAGGGTTAATTAAGTACCTGAATAAGTATGGCGTACAAACAGAAATATGGGGTCGGTCGCACATTACTGCATTAGCTTTAGATTGCCCGATAGTTGCAGGTTGCGGGTTTTTTTCCATTACTTCTATCTTTTGTTATATTGATATTGTCCTTTGTAGGTATGAACGGTTTTATGTTCTGGCCTTTGTGTTCTCGTGTAATGCAGTTACATTGTCGTTTTAGTGTCTCGTAATTTATTTGCTTATCTTAAAATCTTTATGGCGACGTTAACGTTTATTACTCTGTGTAAGTATTTAATTAAAAGCTTTACATAGTTTTTTTATAATGACATCGAGTTTATTGCTATTTATATTGTACAATATATTTTTTAAAATTCAAATGGCGATGTTTGTGTAATGTAGCAAATCTTTTGCGCAAGTCGCTAAGACAATTTTTTTCCTATAAAATATAGATAAAAGGTGACAAAGGTGATAGAGGATTCGATGGTAATCCTGGTGCGCCGGGCAAGGATGGGCCGCGTGGGCCTCCAGGACCTCCTGGAACTCCAGCATCGAACGTCCAATATGTACCAGTGCCTGGACCTCCAGGCCCCCCTGGTCCACCTGGAACTTCACCAGGGCTATCAAAAGATTCAGTCGATACACTCACAGATAGTCCTGGAGTTAGAAGGGAGCCCAATACAGGTATGTAGATGGTTTTCCCTGAAAACAATGAAACCTTTGCGTGCTTTATGTTAAAGCATTTTTTATATAATATACTAGCGGCCCGCTCCGGCTCCGCTCGGGTCTTTAACAAAAATTTCATCGATATTTGAAGTTGTTGGCATAACTACAATAGTTAGACATATGCTGTCGCGACACTTTTTTTAATTAATAATGTGTTCTACAAAGTTGTAGTAGATTATTTTATTCTATCATCAATAGCTTTCGCAGGGCATGCGATGTAAAGAATAGTTTAGGTAATATTTTTACACCTTGGGTTTCATTATTGTAGTTTTAGTAAAGATTCCAAAGATTTAAAAAAAAAAGGTTTTGGCCTATGTCAGTCGGAAATAGTGTAGTTTCCAAACAGTGAAAGAATTTTTCAAATCGGTTCAGTAGTTTCAGAGCCTATACAATACAAACAAACAAACAATTTTTTCCTCTTTGTAATATTAGTATAGATATTCAATGAAATTTTATTTTCAAAAAATAGACGGATTTTATCTTCATAGGTAAACAGAAACTCTCAAACAAGTGCTAACAAAAGTCCGGAATTTAAACGCAATTTTTAACGCAAAAATAACACTCCTATAAAATTCTCTGTAACAGTTTTCGCGCTTTTTTTGTTGCTCGACAAAATACCCTTTTAGTGCCGGCGTTCAAGCATGTATTTTATTTGTTAGGCAAACAGCGGGATCCTCTACAAATTCTACGAAGCCTGAACCATCTGGTGCAGTACCGACAAGAGCCGCACGGTAAGCAATCGACTTCGCAAATATGCTTGCGCGACTCACAATGTTTTTATAGAACGTTCGACCGCCTTTTAGATGTTTTGAAATCACGAATTTTCGGTTCTTCTGGTGTCGATTTATCATAGAGGTTTTATTGTGAATGGCCGTGATTATGATTTTACCATAATTATTTTTGGCGTCATCACAGCTCATGACGTTGGTTTTAGTCGATATATAATACACAAAAGTTTAGCGGTGCTTAGTGGTCTAGCTATTCCCGATTGCGTCTTTTCTCGGCCTTTTGAATAAGCGCTATTTCAGATACTAATACCTTCTGTTCTGCGGGAAGGAAGTGGGAATCTTATAATAATTATTTTGCTCTTTCCTTTCTTCTTTTTTATTTCCCTTGTAGGACATACACGGCTGGATGATGAGCGGTTACCGTCATCCAATGACGTCAACAATATCAGGGCATAGTCAAGCCGCTTCATAAAATTTCTATAGATCTGATTAAGTACAAATAAATATTCCTTCAAGTATGTCGTTGTCGTAGCCTAAAGGATAAAACGTCCAGTGCATTCGTATCTAGCGATGCACCGGTGATCGAATCCCGCCGGCGGATACCAATCTTTCTAATGAAATACGTACTTAAAAAATGTTCACGATGGACTTCCACGGTAACACCGGGTTGGCTGTGAGGTCGTCCACCCAACCAAGCAATAAAAAATACAGAAAACGCTGCCAACAATCTATCAATTTGTCTTTATTTGCGCATTTTTCATAGTTTACTCATGGCCTACGAATTAATTACTAGTTAACTGGGTTATACTAAGATGAACATTTTAATAAATTTGTCACAGTAGCAATTCGAGCTTAAGTCATTTAAATACTGAACAAATATATATTTTTAACAGGTTTTCGAGATTCATTAGATCCACTTGGTGAAGGCTCAGATTTAGATGACGAAGAGGACGGAAGGGCTATTGTTGGAACCATCCTATTTAAAACTACTGATTCGTTGAGACGTGTAAGAGTGCATTAAATTTTAACTTTAATAAAGCTGGAGTGGGGCAACTAAACATTCCGAGACCGCAAAGCAGTCAAAAGCAGCACGGCCACATGACGTTTCGACCTCATTACCCAAGTTAATGACGACATTCAGGTTATGACGTTTGTGAGCTAAGGTTATATATACAACTAAAAACCTGATGAGCCATGAACTCTATTGATTGTGATGCAGTAAAATTTAGACTTAAACAACTGACACATTAGATGAATTTCGAAGTGTATACAAAGAGTCATTGAAATGTTGAGATACCCATTTTGCAAGGTCGCAGCCATTATAAATTAAAATTTTAAAATATTATAATTTTGTTAAAAAAGAAAAACCTCAACGCCCAATATTAATCAATTTACTGGTGGCAGGACCTCTTGTGAGCCCGCGCGGGTAGGTACCACCACTCTGCCTATTTCTGCCGTGAAGCAGTAATGCGTTTAGGTTGGAAGGGCGGGGCAGCCGTTGTAACTATAATGAGACCTTAGAACTGATATCTCAAGGTGAGTGGGGCATTTACGTCGTAGATGTCTATAGCTCCAGTAACCACTTAACACCAGGTGGACTGTGAGCTCGTCCACCCATCTAAGCAATAAAAAAAAACCTGATGTCATTTATACACGCAAAATTATGATACGACTTTGCTTATTTAATACTCAATCGATCAATTTTTCAAACACATTGTCGGGGCACAGAAATGTACTTAAAGCACTTTCGTACAAAAAAATAGTATATTGCCTTGGGCCATTATTTTATTTCGTAAATTCCAACGATTGTAGTTGCGAGTCAAAGCTAGTATGGTACTAGTAAGTCACGTTTTATGCCGTTCATTCAGAATTACGTGCGTTATTTCATAGCTGATACCATAATTGATAAGTTTCTTGGAATAGTGAAGGATCTATTTGAAGTGGACGATCTTTAATGTTTTTACTGTCTAAGACTTGTTTTATTTATATATTTTATGTTGTTAAATAACGACTTTCATACTCCAACCAACTCCCATAGACACCTTATCTTGGAGATTGTTTGAAAGTAAGGGAGAAACATGCATGAAACATTCGTAGCTTATATATTAAAACGTAGCTTAAATATTAAATAATAAAAATACATAATTATTATTACTATTATTATAAATTAGATAATGTTTACTATTTATCGCGTAATTCGGCAACAATTTCTGACATAGTATCACAATTAATTTAATGTACTAAATATTCTTTTTTGTTTCCTTCTGTACATTTCGAAAAGTACATTGATTATTTTCAATTTTGTTTTCATTGATACCACTAAAGCTTGTCGTAATAGTTACTAAACAAAAATTTGAAACAGTTACATGCAAACAAAGGAGAAAATTGTACGTAACTCTTTTGTTTTGTGCCTATTTATTTATGTATTTATTTAAATAATTATATTATTACGCACAGCTAGGAGTAAATAGTCCTCGAGGAACTTTGGCATACGTGTTACAAGAACAAGCTTTGCTGATTCGTGTCAACAACGGCTGGCAATACGTAGCGGTGAGTTTTATTTGATTGATACTTATCTATTATCTATTAGCTATTATATATATAAAAATGAATTGCTGTTCGTTAGTCTCGCTAAAACACGAGAACGGCTCAACCGATTTGGCTAATTTTGGTCTTGAATTATTTGTGGAAGTCCAGAGAAGGTTTAAAAGGTAGATAAATATGAAAATGCTCGAAATTAAATAAAAATAACAATTTTGTTTTTCCTTTGATGTGTCCTCCGTCGGACGGATTCCTTTTGTTTGTTTTAAGTTTATTTTACACTACGAAGTCTTCCGGGTCAGCTAGTGCTTGATATAGTTGATACTTGATACTTTTTTTTTATTGCTTAGATGGGTGGACGACCTCACAGCCCGCCTGGTGCTAAGTGGTTACTGGAGCCCATAGACATCCACAACGTAAATGCGCCACCCACCTTGAGATATAAGTTCTAAGGTCTCAAGTATAGTTACAACGGCTGCCCCACCCTTCAAACCGAAACGCATTACTGCTTCACGGCAGAAATAGGCAGGGTGGTGGTACCTACCCGTGCGGACTCACAAGAGGTCCTACCATCAGTAAAGATATGATAAATATGCATTTATTTATTTGTAAGCTCTTATTTGATGTTCTGTTCAGTTCTTGATCAAAAGTTATGAGTATGGGGCAAGCTACCTGTAAATGAATAATATCCGTCTGTCAATATTTTTATTATCCGTCAATATTTCATGAGTGCCACGTTTCTGTCTATTTATTTCGCAAAATAACCTTCTAATTCTGTGTGAAGGGTGGCATAATCCTTATTCCAATACAAACGGTACATGAGCATAATGTCTCAAATGAAATAGATCCCGCTATAAGACATTACATGGTAATCGGTGAAAATATGAATTGTGAAAATACTGAAGTGTTTCATTAATATCTACACGTCTTTTAAAAACCTAATTTCATGCTGTCACTTAATATTAATAATATTTGGGTCAGCCAATTTGCATCAGTGAAACCACTCATCCAAACAAACACAAAAAAGGCCAACTAAATGTATTAATTAACACGGATAATAAACCAGTCAATAATTTAAAGTGGAGAACGAGGTACAAATATGAACAATCCCAAGTTAATTACAGGTTTGCGGTCATACATAATTGATACCTGAATTCAACCAGTAACATTAAAGTTGTACAGCGTTTTCAACTGTACAGGATTATTGCTTTCGAGTTAATTAAAAACGGTTTAGGCGAGTAATGTACGCGTTCCGTGTTTACGTAATCACCGGTTTTACGGTATAACAAAGGTTTTTGGTATTTATTAGGTCAGAATTTGTATAAACTTTTGTTGTATTGACATACGATTTGCGATTTGATCATAATTGTTCCTTAGAATAAACAGAATAGACGTAAGGTAGGCAGCGGCTTGGTTCTGCCGCTGGCATTGCTGAAGTCCATGGGCGACGGTAACCACTCACCATCAGGTGGACCGTATGCTCGTCTGCCTACAGGGGCAATAAAAAAAAAGCACGAGATTGTAGACTTCTTTCTTGCCTAGAAGAAGCGCGGCAGCTCAGCGAATTAACGGCCTGTCCGGTCATTCCTTTGCAGCAGAATTGAGTCTTAGTGACTATGCCCCTGGCTTTACCTGGGATTGGGACAAGTGCGTGTCTGTCTACCTATAAAAAAATGCCATCACATAATTGGCTTCACACTTAAATATTTCCCGTTTTATTTAATTGTCCGATATATTTTGTTTATACTCAAATATGTTCTTCAGCATGTTGCAGGACATATGTGATTATTATTACGCCTATTTCTGCCATGAAGCAGTAATGCGTTTCGGTTTGAAGGGTGGAGTAGCCGTTGTAACTATACTGAAACCTTAGAACTTATGTCTCAAGGTGGGTGGCGCATTTACGTTGTAAATGTCTATGGGCTGCAGTAACCACTTAACACCAGGTGGGCTGTGAGCGCGTCCACCCATCTAAGCTATAAAAAAAAGACTATTTGGAAAGATCGGTGCTGGATTAAGGATCAATCATTACCAAACTGTTTGTGTCAACCATATCGGTACAATGCAGTGTTGTATTATAATAATCAGTGGATTAAAAATGTTTATACCATATTTTTAAAAGGTTAACAAGACTTGAAAGAAATGATAAAAGAAACTAGGTATAGATGGGAAGCAGAGCACGATTTCACACAATAGTGAGCACAAGTTCGGAAAAATCACATATTTAAAACCAGATAAACACGCCCTCTTTCTTAAACATTTCCTTTTTTGTTGTCAGCAATGTAGGTATAAGCAGTGGTTTTTTTAATAATCTAGGGCAGTGATTCTCAACCACTGTGCCGCGGCACTTTTGAGTGCCGCCAAATTTCAAAAGTGTGCCGCCAAATTTTGCAAATATATAATAATGTTAATATTATTAAATTATATCATTTAAAAAGAAAAATATTTTTAACATGAATATATTATATTGAAATCCACAAAAAAATAAATTATTTTATTATTTGCTTTGCAACGCGGGTTTTCTTAGTGCCAAATTATGATGAAGCGGCGTGCATAGCAATAGGAATATGTCTCAAGTCGGCGCACACTTGCCACTTCTGCGTACAAAGGTGTTGTTTTAGTGATAGTTGGGATTCACAAGGTGTTGCATAGTAGTTACTGCACCTTTTCTTTCGTTAAAATTGGCAAATGTATGTGATTCGGTAGTAAGTAAATAATTTTTATCTTTTTCTTTGTGTGCCGCCAAATTTCGAATTCGATAAATATGTGCCGCAACAAAAAAAAGGTTCAGAATCACTGATCTAGGGTGTCAGGGAGTAGGCCATTTAAAAAGTATTTTTTAGCACATTTTAAATCTAATTTCGAGAAGTTAGTTCTTTGAAAAATTTATTGATCGCGAAAATATTCAATAAATATCTCAACCATACGCATGTTGTTCACGGTGTCTTAGAATGTAACGTTTTTCTCATAGCGAATTCAGTACATGTTTGAGGGTTCAAATTAAATTCAAACAAACGCTCCCCTGAAAACATAACAAAAGCTTCCTACCCGACGACTTCCTGAACATAAATGCTGCAACTTTATAGCATTTAAATATTCATGGAAAAAAAAGAAGGAAGAAAATACCCTGCGAAATCCTGTTGGGAGTTAGTCTCGTCATGCTGCCGTTGTTTTTAAATGAAACTTATTCCTTCGCCCATCGGGAGATAGCTGAATAAGTTGAAACACTTTTTATTATGGAAAGAAATTAAGTTTAGTTCAGAGGTATTGAAGTTGCTTTTGTACATTTGATTTGTTATTCATAGGCCGGAAAAAGAAACACTGTTGGTTCATAATAGGAGTGCGTGCTTAATAGGAGCTAAAATATTTATGTTTTTCTTTATATATATAAAGTTATAGAAGGCTTTTAAGGTTTAAGTTATAGAAGGCTCTATTAGTGGTAGGACCTCATGTGAGTCCGCACGGGTAGGTACCACCACCCTGCCTATTTCTGCCGTGAAGCAGTAATGCGTTTCGGCTTGAAGGGTGGGGCAGCCGTTGTAACTATACTGAGACCTTAGAACTTATATCTCAAGGTGGGTGGCGCATTTACATTGTAGATGTTGTCTTTTGGGTCTTGCTCTAAACTAAGATGGTTTTCATAAAAAAAAAACTATTATTATATACCTTAATTGAATACAATTATATTTTTTTAGACTTTTATAAAACAACCCGCTTTTACAGTATTGCTCGATATAGGGGGCTATTAGTTTTGGCAATCGGGTTATAGCCATATTATATTATTGTATTATGGCATAGTATGAAAATGTATTTTCAAGCGATTGCTGAAGACCACCGAGACAAAACTGCGGGTATGAATAGTATTTTTCTTATTGTCTTATTTGATGATATATAGGATAAACGAGAACAGAAAGAGGTCGAACCCTCAGTTGTGATCTACCACTGCTTTCCAACCTTTCGAACTGGAAAGCGTTACTTCTTCGCGGTAAATAAAGGTAAAATGGCACCTAGCCGTGTGAGTTCAAAGTATACAAGTGAATGACGATAGATGATCGCAGTATACTGAAATTATACTTGAATGAAAACCACTAACTACCCTTCTGTGAATCTCTTAGTCTTTCTCGGCCACACTACCAATTACCTTCTATAGTCTACTCTTAATTAAAGTAAGTCAAAGCTATGTTATACTATTTCGTAAATCGAGTCAACACCAAATTATTTACGAAGAGCTATATTGGTTGGAAGTGATTTCGAAAATAAACTATATGCTTATAAATTTGATTTGCGACAGATGGGGTCATTACTCGCTTTGCACGCTCCGCCCACGAACGGCCCTACCAGGTCGCCATTGCAGAACATTCTGGAAACGTCCAGTTTGGTTCACCACAAGAATCCAGCTGTCGATGGACCAGTCGTGAGTATAGTTTGCATCGTCAAACATATTTCTACGTTTGTAGCATTTATTTTTTTAAGATTCATGCAAAACTCAACTATTGTCATCACACCATTTTTTAATTTATAATTTATAATCAATTTACATTAGTTTAGGATTTTTTGACGGGAACGCGAGGAGTGAAGTTGTGTGATTGGTTTTATTTTGTCTATATCATGTTTCTTCAGGTTTAAATGTGTAATAACGGTGGTTTATGAACTGTTTAATATCTGTGAAAGTGCACAAATGTGGGAAAATGAAACAAAGCCGCTGGACGTAACTTCTCGGGATCCTTCAAAAAGTCCACTGAAATAATCTCAGTAAATGATCACCATTTTACTGAGATTATATATCATCCCATATCATCTCATTTCATTTCATTTCACTCCATTTTATCATTTCTCATAAAAATAAGAATATAAATTAAAATAAGACATGATTTTTTTTTTTTTTTTTTATTGCCCTTGTAGGCAGACGAGCATACGGCCCACCTGATGGTGAGTGGTTACCGTCGCCCATGGACTTCAGCAATGCCAGGGGCAGAGCCAAGCCGCTGCCTACCGCTTAATACTCTCCACAAGCCTCGTTTAAAGAGGGACATGTCATAGCGCTCGGGAAACACCGTGGAGGGGAGCTCATTCCATAGCCGGATGGTACGTGGCAAAAAAGACCTCTGGAAACGCACTGTGGATGACCGCAGTGGCTCCAGGTAGTATGGATTAACTCTACTCCGGTGGCGGGCGGTGCGATGGTAAAAACGAGATGCCGGTATCATCTCGAACAATTCCTCAGACTTAAAAGTCTTAGTTACCAGGTCATAAAATCCCTTAAAATAAAAACATTAATTTGGATTTTGATTGCTTGTAGACTATTAAGTTTTGCTCAGTCATGATTTACATAAAAAAAATACATTATTTTCTATTGTCAAAAAATTCTTATCATACTAATAATCCCGTTCCAGCAAAAAAAAAGAAGCGTTATTAAAATATCACGTCTCAAGATTACAAAAGGAAAAAGCTTTGACATAATGATTTCCATCCTTGACTTCACTCAAACTTGGATTCACAGGATAAACTTACGCTGTCACTTGACATCTTGGAAATTAGGTGGTCGTTTTCTTTGATTATTATCTTGATACGCAAAAAGCTTACACGAAAACAAGATATTATCAATTTTCCAGAAATTTTCCGTTCCCATCTTCTCGTTAAAAAAAATGTATAATGAAAAAATAACGGTGTCGGCAATAAATTATACTTTTATTTACGTAAAAACAAAATGATAATGTTACATAAGGACTTACTTTGTTCGGTAGCCACATAATCAATACTGGTAAACAAGTAAGTAAGACTAGTCGCATACAAAAAAAATATACAAAAGCTTTTTTTTTTTCCTACCTAAGCTGATAGCCTTGAGAGGCTATTTCAGCGTAACCGTGGCTAGTAGGTGAGCTCACGGGGCTCAAACCTGATGACGTTGCTAACACGAACCCTAGCAAGAGCCGTGCTTCGCAGAATCTACCACCGGATCGGAAACGCGATCCACTGAGAAGATCCGGCGAGAAACTCAGTGGGCTGTGTCTGAGAGTTAATTTACTCGTCGAGCCCTTCGTCGCAAGCGACGGGTTCGACGAGAACGGTGACCGGTNATCCGGCGAGAAACTCAGTGGGCTGTGTCTGAGAGTTAATTTACTCGTCGAGCCCTTCGTCGCAAGCGACGGGTTCGACGAGAACGGTGACCGGTGCTTGAAGTACCTAGAAGCACCGTTAGTGGATCGGGAGGATCCGAGATGACGTGTTTTGGGCGACGTCGACTGCTTTCCATTCTGTCCGCAGGATCGGGAATGATTCAAAAGCCTTTTTAGTATGAAAAAGTATTGAGGTACCGTATCAGAAAAAAAAACCCAGACAGATCGATTTTTGATTAACCCGTCAGGCAATTATCGAAACGTGTACATGCCAAGCAAAACAGACGGATGCGAGATTATTCGCAACTGATGAGTTAATAATGATAGTGTCGATAGCATAATGACAGTATAGTCTTCGAATCCACAACAAATAAACAGTTTATTGTCGATATTATTCTTACAGTTTGTTCGATGTGACAATTGCACATATGTGTCCGGTTTTAATGAACGGGCCCACTGACTTTCTCGCCTGATCTTCTCAGCGGGTCGCGATTCCGATAGTAGATTAATTCGAGCAGCTACCATTGAGTGATTAGCTCTCCTTCCCGGCGCTCAGGTAGCTGATAGCAAACCCTACCCCTACTGAGCCCATGCTCGCTCATCTGTCCTGGTGAAATTGTAAAGACACCTGGGCCACCAGTAATTCTTTAATCCTAAAACAAAAAAGATGTGTGGTGTCGTGGGACACCGGATAGGAACGAAGTTCTTTATTATGAAAATATTAATTGTAAGTTCTATTCGAGGTATAAAGAAAATAATTATTCTGGTATACATTTTTTATTATGATTTTTTATAAAGAAAAACAAAAAAATAACTTATTTTCAAAGTTATCAACTTTATTTTATTCACAATGATTTATAAAAATATACAAAGAAACAGCTATTTATATGAATAATAATAATAGGTATATAGCCATCATACTAAGACTATACATAAATAATAAAAATCTTACGTTACGGGCGTTTGATCCCGAACTTTGTTCCAAAAAAAACTTAACAGTAATATTAGAAATTCTTACGTATTATTGAGAAGAAATTTTCTTACAGTTACGTCTGGCTGCATTAAACGAGCCTCGCACGGGCGACATGCACGGCGTTAGCAGCACAAATTACGAATGCAAAAGACAAGCTCAGAGAGCTAACATGGACGGAACATTCCGAGCGTTTATATCGTCGAGGTGAGTTTTCATAGTAATATTCACATAGTAATATACATAGTTATCGATACTCCGCATATTTTGGCCAGTCACTAACTATGTCTAATAAATATCTTTGGACTAAATGTGACCAAAAACCCCATCGCGCAAGACATTGCCCGTCGGAAATGGCGTTGGATAGGACACACTCTGCGGCGCAGCGGAGTCAACGCAGCATCAATCGCGTTTGAGTGGCAACCGCTTGACAGGAGAAGACCTGGTCGCTCTGTACACGCTTGGCGACGCACCGTGGAAAGTGAGATGAGGACTGCCAACGTGACCTGGAGTGATGTCAAGGAGCAAGCGCAAGACAGGGTGATCAGTGGAGATAATTTGTGAGGACCCTATGTACCAACGGGGTACCCTAGGACTACAATAACAACAACAATATACATAGTTTGTCTATAGTATTCTTCTCTACAAATAAAAACTCAAAGAGTTATTGTACAATACGTTTATTTATATGACTGGCGAGCGCAGTGGCGGAGACGAGCGTGGTGATTTTGGTTAATCCATGTTCAGATTTCTCCAGCAAGCCTTATTGCCTCTAGTGTAGGGTTCAAACTTGAACAAACTGGTTGAGCTTCCAAAACTCTGCGCGTAGTTCATCGTGAACACAAACATTAGCAACTTGACAAGCTCAATACGGTCGCACCAATCGTGCTCGAACGAACCAGCTTCAAACGAATTCGATTGGAACATGCACATAATTTGTACCGAATAACAGAAATTTTTAAACAACTTGTAGGTTAAAGATATAAATTAATCAGTTTATATGGTAAATAAAATTCAAAACACTCCCGTATATTAATTTAAGATAATCAGTTCTGGACTATAACTATGTGACCAAACTTTTAATTGCCGTGATAGCAGACAGAAGATCTCATGACGAGTCGCTTATGCAGGTAGGCAGTGGCTTGGTTCTACCCCTGGCATTGCTGAAGTCAGGCGGCGGTAACCACACACCATCAGGTGGGCCGCGTGCTCGTCTGACTGCAAGCGCAATAAAAAAAATGCACAACCATATTGTTGATACCGCAGAAGCATTAAATGGCGAAGTTTAACAAGTAATGCTTTTATAAATCCATTGTTTTTCTACCAGGGTTCAAGCAATAGATTCCATCGTCAGCTGGGTGGACAGAGAGATTCCAGTCGTGAACACAAGAGGAGACGTTCTGTTTAATTCTTGGGGTGAAATGTTCGATGGTTCAGGAGCATTGTTCGCTCATGCCCCCAGGATATACAGCTTCAGTGGTCAGAATGTTCTAATGGACCCTGGTTGGTAAGTAAGGCCTTTTCAGGATGGCGATAGGTATTAATCAGTAAATCAAACAACATGACTATGGATTAGGTTTTCAGTACCTACTGCTAGCTGTAACATCCTTCGAATAGGATCGCATTACTGCTTCTCATCAAAAAGAAGCAGGCTGGTGGCACCTAAATGTGGGCTCGCAGAATGCGAATGTGAAGCTATCTGTCGGTTGATTGTTCTTTTTTATTGCTTAGATGGGTGGACGAGCTCACAGCCCACCTGGTGGTTACTGAAGCCCATAGACATCTACAACGTGAGATATAAGTTCTAAGATCTCAGCATAGTTACAACGGTTGCCCCACCCTTCAAAACGTATTGCTGCTTCACGGCAGAAATAGGCAGGGTGGTGGTACCTACCCGTAAAGACCCTGACACCAGTAAATGCTTTGTCCAGGTTTGTTGATAGTGATTTGAATACGAAAGTGAAGTTTACGTTTTTATATGTGGTGTGTGAGCATCAGCTCGGCCGTGGACTGTCTTCTTGGCTAATTCATTAAGAATTCGTGTCTACGTATTCATGCGTAAGTAAATAAGCATATTGGTAGGACTTACTGGTGGTAGGACCTCTTGTGAGTCCGCGCGGGTAGGTATCACCACCTTGCCTATTTCTGCCGTGAAGCAGTAATGCGTTTCGGTTTGAAGGGTGGGGCAGTCGTTGTAACTATACTGAGATCTTAGGACTTACATCTCAAGGTGGGTGGCGCATTTACGTCGTACATGTCTATGGGCTCCAGTAACCACTTAACACCAGGTGGGCTGTAAGCACGTCCACACATCTAAAGCAAAAAAAATATAAATTTGTTGATCTTTAATTACTTTTGTCAACAAAAACTTACAAAACAACTGGTTCAAAGGGAGACGGACCTACACAAAACTACTGGGGGGGAGGTAACCCCAACATTACAAATACCGAGATAATTTATCTATTTAAATGCTCTACAAAGTCTTAGTATTTACGAACAAACTCCGTGACGAGTTTTCTAATTATGAATGAAACGTGCCCTCATTAAAATGTCACCTGAATTGGGCCAGGTATTTAATTAGTTTACATTTTTCTTTGATGATATATATAATGGATTCGGAGGAAGCCTACCCTAAAAATGTTAAAGGCCAAACACATTAAAATTTAAGATAGTAAATATTGGGAGCTGAAACACGGAAAATTGAATCAAAAACGGATAATCCCAAGACTGCCGGTGCTAATGGGTCGAAATCGTTGTTGAAATATTAAACGAAGTTATAAATTTAAGATCGATAAAATGGATTTATTTCTTGGTTTATAATTTTGCTAGCTTGTGCTAGGGCGTACAAGCCTACACGAGTAGGTACCGTCATCGTACATATTTCTACATAGTAGCTATTCTATGTTACATTATAGGACTGTACAAACGTGCGTTTGTGGCCTATGTCGCAAAGTGGCGGTCAAAACTATTAAATACAAGGCTAGCCGACAATTACGCTACCAAAAGTCAAAGCAGATTTGCTTCTAAAAATATTTCTAAGGTCAAATATTAATTTAGGCCTACAAAAGCCGTCTGGCACGGCGCTAGTTCCACCGGCGAGCCAGCCATGGATGCGTACTGTGACGCATGGCATAGCAGCAGCCCAGATAAATTTGGTCTCGCATCTTCACTGCACACGAATAAACTGCTGGATCAAGAGACGTGAGTGTTTTAGTAACAAAGAAAACTTACAACAATGAATATGTTCTTCTATATACGTTATACAAACGGGAGAAGTGGCGATTGCTCGTAAGTCGCATAATATCTGCCCACGGCAATGATACTGAATGACGACCACGACCACTTTGACAAAAAATAAACTCGTTGGAACTTAGTTAAGAATTTAATACTCCTAATTGAACACAAACAAGTACGCAAGCCACCAAATAAACCTGTATATAGTACGGGCCTTATCGCTCATAGACCATACCTTAAAACTTCGAAAGTGGCGGGGCATTATGTATGCCCTCAATACTAGGTACCACCTATTTGTCACCTTAAAACTTCGAAAGTGGCGGGGCGTTATGTATGCCCTCAATACTAGGTACCACCTATTTGTCTGATGCTATCTTGGCTTCACAGGATGAATCAACGTTAAAAAATACCACCTTCGATAAAGATTTCGAAGTCGTAACCATCATTTTATGGTTCGCCATTCAAGTTGCGGTGTCTTTGGCTAACAGTAACCCTTTAATACCATATGGACAACGATCTACTCGTATACACCAAATAAAAGATGATGAGTCCGGTCGGAAAATATTTTTTGTCGAAGCTAAAGATTTTTTTCCAGATATTCGTGCAGCAGTAGGTTGATAGTATTATGCGTGGAAGCAACTCCGGCTGATACGGTTCGAAGAAAAAAACGATCCAGGTGAGTTTACCATGACTTTTGTCGGCAGACATGGCCCATTTGCAGGGTATAGTTACAATCACTCACGGCATTAGCAGCTACATCTGACTACCAGGGATGAAATATTCATAAATTGTTTAAGATGAACTGTCACTTAGTGGAAACAGCGAGGAGGGGAATTTAATTGAGCGTATGATGGTACGTGGCAAAAATAATGCCTCAAGCCGCTCCGTTGGCGAAGTAGTTTCTTGCTGTCCGCGGACTTTATTCCGGTGGTGGCTGCAGTGGTAAAACATGACTGGCTCACAGGAAGCATTTCCCTAGAGTACTTACCATATACCCAATTTAAATTCGTATTCAGTACCTCTGCTTTGAGTGAAACTCAATTATTACTGAACTCAAGACCACATTATCGTCTTAGGCCCACTTTTGAAGCGAAGAGTTCACTCCAGTTGCAAGGGCTTAATGATTCATTTGTTCGAAACCCTGATTATTGAGGTACTTAGCATCACTGAAGTATGGTATGCGTACGAGACATCGGAAGCCTTTATATGTTTTACCGTTTATTATATTCTGTGACCTGCTGCTGTCTTGCTGTAGATAGGTTAAGTGAGCTTAAGATTCATCTGATTTTAGCTGGTTATCTCACAGACGCCACTGTAATGCCTTTAAGCAAGAACATTGAGACATAAAATAGAAGTTTTAGTGTTTTTTTAATATCGGCCTAGCCTCAAAACTGCCTGTTTCCGCTGCAAAGCAATCTTACATTCCATTCTATCATCTATGATGGCGATTCTCAAACTGTGGCATGCGTGTCGCTCGAAGCTCCTGAGAATTATATTGGGAATGGCAAAAATACTGAGAAGTTAAAACAGTTTAGCTAAATAAATATTAATATAATGTATACAGAAGATTCAGATGAACCTTATTACTAATAACTTAATAGAAACAGACCGAGCGATAGACCTTAATATAAACGAAACACATTTTTAGGAGTAGTTATCATTTAAAGATTTATTAAGGAGTACAGGAATGAATAAAAGTTGGGAAGTACTGATCTATAACTTACATGACACCAAGTGTAAGCTTGCCTACCCGTTTATCGTAATCTAAATAAATACATTCGCATCGACTCGCGTCGACATCGCAGCGACGTACGGCTTGCCTTAGAAGCCAGCGACGATGACAAGACGCAACCCTATCAATCAACAGCTACGACTACTCTGCCCAGAGTATCCGACTAGGAAGGATATAAATACAGTTTGGAAGAGTCCTGAGTTCGTAATGCTATAATTTTGCTTTTTGAGTCCGCACGGGTAGGTACGACCAACCTGCCTATTTTTGCCGTGAAGCAGTAATGCGTTTCGGTTTGTAAGGTAAGTAAAGTAAGGGTGAGGCAGCCGTTGTAACTATACTGAGACCTTAGAACTCTTATCTCATTGGGTGGGTGGCGGCATTTACGTTGTAGATGTCTATGGGCTCCGATAACCACTTAACACCAGGTGGGCCGTGAGCTCGTCCGCCCATCTAAGCAATAAAAAAAAAACTATAATGCTTAAATCTCATGCTTATTGAAGCAAAGCTTCTTATTGAAGGATCGCTTCTTATTAAAGAAGCATTTTGTGATGTCTATGTGCGAAACTAGTCATTTAACGACATAAGGGCTATGTGCCGTCATCATTTCATTGCTATAGATCAAATCATCAAATTAGAAAAAAACCATACCGTATTGACCCATATTGATGGGCGAGCTACTAATTTGATGTATGATAAAACTTAACCTTAATCTTTATTCCAGCAGGTATCGAACAAACGAAAAGCTCAAGTTCTTGAAAGATTCAGAAAAATCGAATGAAACTAGTCAAAGCTTATAGGTAAAGAATATAATCTGTGTATGACTGAAAACGGTTGTTCTACTTCTCACGTTGTCTATGTAAATAAATTTATTAAAAATTTGTTTTTTTTTTATTATTATTTAAATTCGAATATGATTCTTTCAGAACCAGTTTTCATGATCATTTTATATAATAAATTTAGCCGACTTTTTTTTATAAAGTCTGGATCCGACTTACCGTTTTTGTATCTCTTAGTTTAATGATACAGTGAAAACAACGAGAAATAGTTCTTGCGTTTGTGTGGGTTGACAGTGTGAAAAAGGTCGGATCGAGTACTGCAATGCGACATATTACGTCGCAGCGATAATGTTCTTTGCTCTATACAGACACACACCTACACACACAAAAACACACAAACAAGAATATAAAAATGTAAAATAGTACGTCTAGGTCTGACTTTTTAAATGAGTTTGAAACTACGAATTGGATAGGAGAACATTCAAATTTAATTTCCAAAATTTATTGAAAAATTATTAAAAATCGAAGACTGTATAAAAATTGGAATAGGAAATATCAATTTTGAGAGTCAATCAAATAAAAGGAATGAATCGACAATATTTATTAATAAAGAATCTTCTAATATGTACGCCACTACTAAAATACATTAAAAATCTATAGATGAAACTTAATAAATTAGATCATAATTAATATATAAAAAATTGAATGTTTAATTACAGCCATTTCTGTAATTAAGGAGAGCGTGAAAATATTTAGATAGATTTAATAGAAACAAATATCAATGTTAAAATTTGTAAATAATTAGACAAAAGCTTAACTATATTTTGTTCTAAAATTACCTATTGTCTATTTTTGCGCTTAATACTAAAGAATATTATATTTTTGTTCGCAATTTAAATACCCAGCTGTGTAGCTCTCTCAGATGAACTGAACTAAAATTCCGTTAATGTTATATATAGCAATTATTTACAAGTGAAGGCACGTGGGTCTGGAAAATCCCCATTATCAAAAGAAATTTCTGAAAATGAGCTAGGAACGAAATAGGCTCCTTGAATTGTCGTATAAATGTGTCCTTCAGATATATCATTTAATTCTTATGTCACGCTCAACTAATTCAGACTTTATTACGGGATCTCCACAAATGTAGCAAATTTTCTAGTATTAAATTAATATAGTTGTATAATTTATAGTTGAGTTGATATTGAATTAAATTTGTTCCAAAGTTTTATTATTATTATTTGGACTGTGGTGTAAATAGATTAAACAGTAAAAAAATTCTAAGAGATAAATTAACGCATCAATTCTAAGTGTCAACTCAAGTATATGATATAATTGAATTAGTTAAGTTACTTGTAATTTTTTATTGTTACAAACGAAATATAGTTTAATAATTATTAATTATTGTACTTAAAAGGTGCAAATTGTTTTCGTGAATAAATAAGGTGTTTTTTATTTGTAATTTGTGTTTTATTTTCGATTTCGATATCTAAATCATGGTTACAGTTACAAAATACCACTCACTGCCTTTGTATAATACTTAATTTGAGCACGTCAAACTTCAATGGTTGCCTTTTTTAAAACGGCTTTTCAAATGAGCTAAAAGCCGTCCTGATTTGGGCGATAATCTGTAGACAAAACAGCGTGAGTGCCGCTATTCATCTTAAGATAGCCTTTCAGATTAGAATACACGGCTACTTCACGACACAAATAGGCAAAACGTTCGAGTCTTTGAACCACTACACGCATTTAGAAAATTACGAAAATTCAAGCTCACAAACATAAATCTATTAGCATTAAGGAAATACAAAATTTATTATTCATTAGCAATTAATCTTAATGATGTTAATAATTAATCGAAGTATCTGTCTCCGTGGAATACAAACGTTGTGAATGCTGCTATCTCTTTCATTCTTACAGTAGTGGTAGGGTGCGTTCAACTGCTGCCTGATTACAATGGCATTACGACGGACTTCATGACTCAATATGGACTCTGGTAAGCCCTTAACGAGAGGTAAGCCATGAGTTTCGCCTATTAGGGTAAACAAACAAAAATTAACGTAGGTTCTTCTGTTTGTAAAAACTATTGTACAGAGCTCTTGCGAAAACGACCGCACCACAGTCATTTACTTTTCGAGTCAACGATCGCGTGCAATGAAACCCGGATTACGTCATGGCTTCATTTTGACACGGCCGCGGAATAATAATTTGGGAAAAAAATAGTAAAATGCGCAGTCACTTCTGGGCTTTTTGTCAAACGAGGCCACTCAAGGCAGGTGGCTTTGTCGAACTAAAATGTATTGCCACTCCCGTGGACTGTTAACGAATGGGTTTGATTACTGTGTCCATCTTTGTCTTCTACAATCTTGATAATCCATTTCAAGTTGGATTCCGAGTAACGCAAAAAACGCCCAAAGCTAAACACCACAAGTACCAAATTATTGTATACAAGTATATTTTAACAACGATAACTGGTTTAAATGCCTTAATTGGGTTCATATTATTACTTGGCGAGATAGGTGTTATTAACGTTGGCTTACAACACCTGTCTAAGAGAAGGAAAATGCTCACCGCCCACCTGGTGTTAAGTGGTCACCAAAGTTCAACCATCAATATCGACACAAACTTTTGGACTAGAGTTTGAAGTTTAAATTTCTTAGTAAAACTCCGATCTTACCCTTCAAACCCGAATGTATGACTGCTTCACGGCAGAAATAAAGAGAAATGTATGAACTTAAAATCTCACCAGTAAATACGTATAATTTTTTGGGGGTTTGATTTTTATTACACAACTCCTTTAGCATGAAAGAAGTTCTTCACGTCTTGGGTATATATGTACTTTCTTAGAAACATTTAAAAAAAAAGAACGAATTCCTTAGAATTTGTGCTACAAAAGTGATTTATATTTATACATACGGCATACCCATCGGTCAAAATATTGTCATTTTATCCCGTCTCAAAAAATTTTCCATGCGAAATATTATAATTTGTTATTAAGCCAACTGTACATTTCGTAAACCAATGAGCACCGCAAATAAAAAATACACTGAATCCTGTCAAATAATCCGTATCATAAAACGCGGCCGTGATTTTAAAACGGTACGTGCTCTTCGTAAAATTAAATGGGATTAAAGGGATGAATTCAAGTGCTCGATCGTCCGTTACCTAAAAGACATTTTTCGTTACCCGGTCTTTGTAATCGAAATGTTTTAATGCTTTGTTTGAAATCTGTGTGGATCGCAACAGGATTGTGCGACATGAGAAATGAGAAGCTTAGTTTATTTTTCTCCTTCCTAGCCTTACCGCAGGAAATGGAATTGGCACAACAGTTTTGCTCTAGCTGTGAATTTGGCTAAGCAAATAAGTATAGTAATATTTGAGCGAATGTAGGGGTATTTTTAGAATGGAAGTGTTACTGGTAGCCCAAAAGGCCTTTTCAGTTTCACCAGGATCGGTTGACGAGCAGGGGGCCAGGCGAGGTGGATTTTCTGTCAGCCGGTTGAGCGCCTCCGAAGGAGACCTAACAGCTCAAAGGCAGCTGCTTCGCAATTACATCTAAAACATAAGTATTATCATCATCAACCTCCAAGTTGAAGACCATAATTTTGAGTTTCAATAAAAAGTCACACAAAACTAGGACAAGCCATAAAGTGTTTAGTTAATAGAGTTGTAAAAGTTGCCTTTATGAGGGTACGTTGTAATTCACGCGATCTTTTGATGTACTAATAAGGATACATTGGAGGTAGGTATAATACTGATATTTTACACTGAAAAAGACTAAGCCATGACGAATTCTGGCAAACAATTTTGCAGAGAGAACTCATGATCTGTTATGATCTGATCTGAATGATTATTTCATTACGGATCCTCCCGATCCATTAACGGTGCTTTTAGGTACATCAAGCAATGGTCACCCTACTCGCCGAACCCGTCGCTTGCAACGAAGGGCTCGAAGAGTAAATTAACCCATAGACATAGCCCACTGAGTTTCTCGCCGGATCTTCTCAGTGGGTCGCGTTTCCGATCCGGTAGTAGATTCTGCGAAGCACTGCACTTGCTAGGGCCAGTGCTACCAACACATCCAGTTTGAACCCGTGAGCTCACCTACGCGTTAGGGTAAAGCTGAAATAGCCTCTCAAGGCTATCAGCAGAGGTAGGCAAAAAGTACATTGTGTTCGCTTTCTGTGCATCAAAACCGATATTTTAACTGAATTTAAAAACCTCGTTCCTTCTGGCCCTNAGTAGATTCTGCGAAGCACTGCACTTGCTAGGGCCAGTGCTACCAACACATCCAGTTTGAACCCGTGAGCTCACCTACGCGTTAGGGTAAAGCTGAAATAGCCTCTCAAGGCTATCAGCAGAGGTAGGCAAAAAGTACATTGTGTTCGCTTTCTGTGCATCAAAACCGATATTTTAACTGAATTTAAAAACCTCGTTCCATCTGGCCCTCAAACAACTGTGCCACACATCCATATGATAATGATGAATCAATCGATTCCGACACTTACCACCTACTTTGCCCAACGCTGAAGGAGAAGATTTTTTTTCGAACAAATTGATATGTTTTTTTGTAAGATCTACGCCTATTGATGATGTCTGTGTATTTATGTCTTTGTCGTTATTACTAGTATGACTAAGGCTTAATATATAAATGGAGATGAAATTTCTCCATGTTTGTTTCCTAACCTTGATTTGAAAGCTCGGTTTAGAGGTTTCATTTACTACACAACCAATTAATGTTTCTTATTGAACTTGTGTTTGACTAATTAAGTCTTTATGAAAGCTGCAAGACTCGGTTAGGAATTTTATTGAAAAAATAGCTCATTATTATATTAATGAAACTAATAAGTAATATTATTAATAATATTAATATTAGTGAGGTAAAAAGCGCTTAATGATTTGCAGAGGTCTGAGAGGTGATGCTGTGTCTCTTGTCCGCAAAGCTAATGTTTGTATTAAATTGTAGTATGTACATTAGAAATTAGGAAAAAAAAGCACATTTTGGAAGTTGCTGATGAGTTTCGCAAGACTGGTGTTGAGTCTAAAAATAATGTTTGACTAGACGATGACCAAGCTTTGCTCTGTTTTTTTGTTGTTGATAAATTGTGTTTTTTAGAAATTATATTTAAATACGAATTACAATATATTGATAAATTGATGAAATATTCCAAGATCGTTTAGGTATTTTTAAGTGAACAGCACGTGAATTAAAAAGACACAAATAATATAAATAAATAACTCATTTTGTTGGTCTAACCTTAAACCAAACACTCATTGGCTTCGGGTGGCTTAACAACGCCATCTGCTGAAATTTTAGCTTTAGTTTTATTGTGTCTTTAAAGCAATTAGTTGCTCTCCATTATGAAAAATAGTATTATTATTCACCAATAGATGTCTGGAAGAGTCATAAAGTTGATTATCGATAAAGTTGATTTTTGAAAACACGAATAAAACAACATTTCCTGAAAAGAAATCGTAGCTAGATCGATTTATCGCCCCCGAAATCCCCTGTTTACTAAATTTTATGAAAATCGTTGGAGCCGTTTCCGAGATTCAGATTATATATATACATATGCAAGAATTGCTCGTTTAAAGGTATAAGATTTTTAACATTTACCCAAAAATTTGTTCTTCTCTTACAAACCTTAACGGAGTATAGTAGCCGAAACGAAGAATTCGTTACCAGATTATTTATTACCAATAATGAGAAGAATTTGACGAACACCTAATATTCCAGTTTCATATTTAGGCAGTTTTTAACATCGGCTCGCGTGTCCAGTTTATTGCCGAGATATGCAGTCCCTAATAAAAATATTTTCAAATTATATGCCACACCGTAAAAAATTCACGTATAAAACTGGCTGTTTAAGTATTTTAATTAACTTAATCGTAAATGGGGAGTCAACTATGACCTAAAAAGTTTTTAGTCGTAAACGGCGGCTTGTTTATATTTATGAATAAGATATATGGACATAATATTATATTATTATGTAAATTGACTGATATTCACTTATTTTTAGCG